CATACACACACACACACATACATGCGTACACACACACACACACACACACACACACACACACACACGATAGACATGTTTGCTTTGATGTGAACACTAGGTAACAAATACATTGAAACACCACATTGTGTGCCATAATTATACAGAGATTCTACATATCAACTAAGAAAATAAAACAGAGGGAAAGTACAAAGGAAAATAAATAAATCAATATAGGAGAATTTAGAAAGCAAAAATACTTCTAGCTTCCTAGCATCCTGGGCTTGGAATTTAATCTTAGAACCCTTTGATCACATTGTGTGCTCTTCAAGAATATGTCAGACTAGAATGGAAGCCGAGAATCTTGGAATGTCTAAGTGACAAGGCCCAGATTCAGGGTCTGAAAGACTTCTCTAAACTAACTGATTTGATTTGTCTAGGAACAATCACAATGTGTACATTAGGATTTTGTTTTACAATGTTTCATTTTATCTTAGTTGATTGCATTTCATTCATTAAGTTGAGGGGGAGTAGGCTGAGGGGGAAAAAGTGAGATGGCAGTGTCCAAGTGGTTCTCTGAAGCTTGCAGTCCATGATAGAGCAGGTGAAAGGTCATGGATTCATGGATTCTTCTATTCTACTCCAGGGCCCACTAAAGATTCTATACAGTTACCTGTTCCTAGGCCCTAATTCTCTCTTTGAAATGTCATTTTCATCACCAGCATAGTGAAATCACTGGGCTATTTGTTTGAATTGTTTCTTATGAAAAAAAATCCATTTTCATTATTTGTTTTGACTTTATTTACTTATTTTTTATAAATTATTAATTTCTAAATCTTTTTAAACTTTTATTTGTCTCTCATATATCTTGACATTTTCTCCTCCCTACTCCTCTCAGTCCCTCTCCTCACATCATCTCTCTTCCAGATAATCTCTTTCTCCAATTTATTTAAAAAAAAAAAAGATCAGGGCTCCCAGGAATATTTACTGAACATGGCCTAACAAGATACAATAATACTGGGCACAAGCCCTCATATCATATCAAGGCTGGACGAACAGTCAAAGATATCAAGAAAAATATTAGGTAGGACAAGTTTTAAGAAATTCTACATACCTATTGAGCAACAGCAAGGTTTATTACTGGTCTCATTCCATTCAAGAACAATTACTTTTCTGGCAGAAACAACATTTTCCCCCAGAAAACTTTCAGCATAGTAATCTTTGGAAATATCCCTGTCATGGACACAGAGTTTTATGCAAAATGTTGAATTTAGATGAGTGCCATTTCTACAAAATTTTTCAACACAAACTTGATTCCAGGACCATCACTTTAAGTTTGAATTGTAGAGAATTTTAATATCAGTTATTATATTATATTCAGCATTTTTGTTTTCCTAGTTATTAGTATTATTATGTCTTGACACAGTCTTTGTTCTGTCTCACAGCCACTGTTTTTAGTATTTAAAAACACTTTTAGCATTTCCTGACAATCTTTGCAGATATCTAGGAAAGATGTGAGGTATGATCTCGCTACATTTCAGGTGAGACTTGAAAACAGTCCTCAAATAATGTGCTCAACACTCAATATGAATAATTTGTCAATGTGCAAGGTTTTTTTACATTTATTTATTTATTTATTCATTTATTCATTCATTTATTTATTTTATGTGTGTGTTTTCCTGCATATAGATATATAGTTATAGCACATGCATGTGTGTGGTTTCCAGGGAGACTGAGGAGGGTACCAAGTTTCCTGGAAGTGGAGTTCAACATGGTTGTGAGCTTTCATGTGGGCTTTGTGAACTGAACCTGTTCAAGAGGAACAAGTACTCCTCACACTGAGCCATCTCTCCATCTCCCTATTTTGCAAGTTGTTATTATTTTCAAAGTCTCCATTTCTGGATGCCATACAGACCTTTTAGTACCATCTATGGGGAAAGACAAACTCCTTAGTCTTCCTCCTTCCTTCAAGGCCCAAGAGGAATTTCATTATTAATAATTTATGTATTATCTTTATAGTGCCTGCCTCTTTATTAATCACCACCATGGAATCTGTTTGCTATTAATCATCAGTCTTGAGCCTGAGTATTACCAGTAATTATTTCTGAATGTTCGTTACCTGTTGGTTTAATTACTTGTTTTCCTCCAGGAGTATGGACTATTTTAGGCCACTGACTCTGAGGGGTGGTTGTGTGTGTGTGTGTGTGTGTGTGTGTGTGACTAAAATTTAAGTTTTTCTCTTAGACCCTAATTATCATAGCATGTAGTAAAACCATTTAAGCTAAAGAATCCCAATGCTTTGTCACTTCTGAAAGCCTAAAGTTTTTATTGCTTTTGGAAACATAAAGCCAGGTATAATCTGTGATCCCTCTTTTATTTATAGTTACGCCTTCCTCAACAATTCTTTGAAGGCTTTTATAAACTAGTTGATTTGATTTCTCCAGGAAAAAGCACAGTGGGTTCCTTCAGGACTTTATTTTGTTTTGTTTTGCTTTACTTAAATTCATTAGATGCTTGGGGAAATCAGAAACAAATGAGACCAAAATACAGAATCAGTGTGATTTGTTCTTATTCTTATAAGTGTAACTACACAACAGAGACTTTGATAATCTCAGTTTGGGGCCACCTTAAATATAAAGAAAATTTCTTTGCTTTAATTGTATTTTATCTGCAAATGACAGCCACGGTATATCTAGTACAAAACAGTAAATGGAATAAGTGTTCTGTCTCCTTTGAAGACAGAAACTTACTAGAGTACGGATGTCTACCTTCACACTTTCAAGCATATCATTTTGAGAAAACAAAGTTCTCAAGAGAAAGACAGTTACTTTGTTGAACATCACATATCCCTTACTCCATTCCCCCCCACAGTGGCTCTTATGTATGGGCTCCAATAATTCAGAAAGTATCACCAGGGATGCTTAGATGATTCACAGACTTAGAATTTTAGTCCAAGTTTTCCAGACTTCAAAGTCTGTGTACTCTGCTGTGTCAAGTTAAATGAAGTATGTAAACAGTACTACTTAATGTATGCATGTAAGCAGTGAAAGATGGAACATAAATACCATTGCTCTAGAAATAAGAATGCTTCAGACACTTCTAGATGAGTTATGCAGAACTAGGGATGCCTTGGATATGAACAATACATAGATTAATATATTTATGTTAGCAAATGTTAGTTCCTTTATTCAGTCACCACCAATGAAAAATAGAGAAGCAAATATACTGTGTGTCCCTGTGTACACACTCCTTATTGACATCTTACTCAGTGCCCTGACAACAGTTCCTCATTGAGCTTAATGAAGACAGCAGAAATTTTAGTAATAGTTGCTTAAGAACTCCTAGCATACCCTCTAGTATGTGCTATAACTAATATATATACTAATATATCCATTTGGTCATTGTTGCTTTGTTGAGTGCATGCCTCCATATCAGCACTGCCATATCTACAATGGTATTTCAGGGTTGTGCTTTAGGAGAGAGAATACACGACACTATTTATTAAAGACTTTATAATTTACTTTGAGATATAATAACAATACTGTAGAGTTCTATGCCCAAAACGTTTCAAAGCAAGTTTCCAGATTTGTTATCTTAATCTACCACCTGCTCTGTGAAATGACAACTATTACTACTCTTGCTATGCTATAAGGGGAAATAATGGACAGAGAGAATCACCCGCTTGAGCAAAGGCAATGATTTGATTAAATGAAAAAGTAAAATTACAAATATGAAATGTGACACTTTAAGAAAAAAAGAACTCAAGACTACTGCATAATAATAGACATTACAAAAATGAATTAAAGAATTGCATAGGTAAAGA